TATTTTGCATGGAAATTTGGCGTTTTATGTTGTAGGCCTGTAATTTTTAGGAATAACTCACTGAAATCTGTCCAAACAAGAGTCTAATAAACATCTCGGGTAGGATAAAACTTAAAACACGAAATCATAAATTATAATTTAATAAATAATCATAAAAAAATATAATAATATAAAAATAATAAATTTAATTCAATAATATAATCAAAGCAAAAACACTGAAATTTGAAATATAGCGCCAAGTTCGCACATCACTGAGCAAAGTTGCAAAATCATTTTCAATATCTGATGACGAATTTCCCTACGAATCATTATCATTCAATTCTGCAAGTGGTTCTAATTTACTATCGCTGTTCTCTAGCTGGTCTAAAACCTCTTTTGACCTAAAAGGGATGCTTTTTGACGCCATGGACGTTTCTCAGTTTCCAGGCAGAAAGAATAGGCAAAATGCAGGCAGGGCACAGGACAAATCACTAGGGACAAAATGTATGTGAAATGGTTTGATACAGCAATGTTTTACTGTGATGTGTGATTTACTGTTTTTATGTGATTTTAGTGAATGTCACTTTTTGTCATTTTCAAATTTCTCGCCGTTCCATCCCCCGTACGTCTCGACGCTCGCAGGGGACGGAACCCAGATGACAGATGCCGGCATCCACTGGATTACATTGCCGGGGACACTGCAGGAGGGACATCGCGGGAGCGCAGGACAAGGTAAGTGCACGAGGGATCCCAGAGCAGTGCCGCATGGTAAGCCTGAGTGTAGCTCGGGGTTACCACTTGTGGTACTGAAACTTTACCCCGAGCTACACTCGGGAATACCGTCAGGGAGACTACAGTGTTACTAACCCACAACAGTAAAATCAGTCTGTATATGCAGTAAAGCATGCTTGTTATACTCACTGTGGAACCTAAGGGGTTAATCCTCTGCATTGTGCAAAAAGGCTGTTTGATCCTGACTTCTCTGCCCCTCCTCTTGTTCAAATGTCCCCGCTGATAAGACAGACTGAACTCGTAGCCCTTCTGCACATGCTCAGTTTAGTGTGTATTGCTAGAGAGGGTTTTTTTTTTTTCTTGGGAGAGTGCATGTGATCAGCACAGGGCCAATCAGCACTGTCCAGACAGGGGTCAGGGGTTTTGCATCCTCCTAGAGCAGAAAGAAAACTCCTACAAGCTTTAACCAGTGCTCAGCTGAAGTCACAAGACTTTTCTAACTGCTGATGGGAAAAGGTATTTAGCAGTTTATATTTACTAAAATAATTGCATTTCCAAGTTGTATGTACTGTAGGAGACCAGATATAGTGAATGCAGGGTTTTGGGTTTAGTAACACTTTAATAGCATGTTAGTATGTTAGTAGACTAGAGGTAATAGTTAGCATGTAGCCGTTGGCCTGAAACAAGAAAATTAAGTTCCAATGCAAAATTTTTAAGTTATTTTAGGCCTTGTGCACTTTGGACATCTTTGCTCTTAGATGTCTTTCCTCCTGGAGGCAGTGTTTTGGCAGAAAAAAATGCTTGATGAGTAACGCATTTAGGCACCTTTGGGTGTGTCATTTGCTTGGGTGTTAATTCATCTCATTGGCCAGAATAATAATTCATTCTGACCCTTGATATGAATTAATGCTCAAGAGCTAAACACGTCAAGTGTTAATACGTGTTTACAAGCGGCAGTGTTTTTTTTTTCTGCCTCTAAACTCCTCTGAACCTGGGTTCACACTGATGCGGTGCGGAATTTGCAGCGTTTTCTGTGCGAATTCCGCACCGCATCAAAATCGAACCCCGTTAATGCGAACCGCTGCGGGTGTGTATGTTAAGTCCACAAAACGCGGTGTGTGTGTGTGCAGAATCAGATCGCATAGGTGTGAATACCCATGCAATCCGATTCTAGTGCGGACCAAAAAAAGGGTCCTGCGCCATTTTGGTGCTGGTGCGATTAGAGCCATAGAAAATGTATGGCTCCAATTGCACCGCACACAATTCACATGCGATGTACATTAACGCATATATGTGAGCCTGGGCTAAATGACTATACTTTATGTGCTTGGACATGTAGACTAACATGCAGGGGCGCTTGGAGGTGCCAGACGCCCTTCAGAGCAGCTTCAAAAACATGCAGTGTGGCCTAAAGGTGAAATGTTTTTTCTTAGCTTTGGATAAAATAGGGTTTTGAAACCACTGTCAAGTTTAAACAGATAGATAGATAGATAGATAGATAGATAGATAGATAGATAGATAGATAGATAGATAGATAGATAGATAGATCGATAGATAGATAGATAGATAGATAGATAGATAGATAGATAGATAATAGATAGATAGATAGATAGATAGACATATGCTCAATATACCCTCTTATTGCTCTATCTTTTTATAAGTAGGTAGCAGCTGATAAATTGAGAGGCAATCATCGTGGATTCAGTAACTGCTTCTTCAGTTAAGCATTATTTATGGAAGTCAGGTCTGTTCACTTGAAATAAGACCCCCAAATCCCCTCCCAGATTGCTATATTGCATCATCTGGAGCTGAAATGGGGGCGAGTTAAAGCAACGTGGCACTGTTATAATAGAGTTTATCAAGCTCAAACATCACCAGCAGACCAGGTGTAATCCCAGCTTGCAGATCTCCAAGATTCTGGTCTTAGAAAGTTAATTAGAAAAGCTTCTTACATGTGACACAGCACAAGGTGAACACAAATCTGATGTTTAAATGATCTCTAGTTGTCAATGTGTTCAGGTCTTCTTAAATAAATTATCTCATACATTGCCTTTTTATAAGCATTAAAAATAAAATGTGACAAATGATGACTTTGTGAAAACGGGGTCTGCTACATTTATCTGCCCAGATGTCAAATACAGCAGATATGATAGAATATAAATATTTATAATAAAATATAATTATGTGTTCATCTAAAAAGTGTGAATATATGACCAAATAATACATGACCTGCATAGGATGTAACCTGGTGTGAACATATAATGCAAGACAGTAAACATGTAGTTAAACTACATTTGTAGATCTCACACAATGAACCATGTCTTCCACTTCCACAATGAACCATGATTTCACTTGTTCAGACATTTGCTTGCATAGCAAAATTATTATCTTGATGCTAATTCAAGAAGCTAACCTAAGATGGCTGGCAATCAATGAGCAGGCAAGCAGAGAGGTTTGGACCTTGTGGATGAAATGCTAGTACAAAAGCCACCCAGTTGTCTCCTTTAGGATTTGTGCATGCAGGATGATTAATTTGGTTAAAGAGAGATACATTATATTTTCACTGAGTATATTAAAGATTTTTATTGCACAAATGTCCTTAAAAGCAACCCTGCTGAGTCTTGTAGTGATGTAGGAATCAGGATAAGGAGCTATGGCACATGGTGGGGGACACATGCATCTGACACTTCTGGAGATGTTGAATGGTGAAGACACTGATGGAGGCTGCAGTGCTGGAATAGAGGGCAGGTAAAACAATATCAAAGAGTATGCAAACTAGGGATGCACTGTGTATAGGTGCCAATACTGAGTATTTTCACGAGTACTCGTACTTGTGAAAATGCTTCCGATACCTAAAACCGATACTTTGTGATGCAATTTACATCCATACAAAATGTATGGATGCAAATTGCATCGCAATGAATAGCAAGTGATTTGAACAGGAATGCAATTCCTGGCCAAATCGCATGTGGTTTCCTCACTGCCCCTGTGTGAACCCAAGCTTGTCATAGGAAGCTGCTGGGATTTCAGATCCCCAGACCTGTGAAGCGGCTTTCTCTTCTCTCCTAGCAGGGATGACAGAACGGGCTAGACTGCTTTTGACTGCTGACTAATCAAATGCCGTCTAGCCCATACTGTCATCCCTGCACTGAGAGGAGAGAAAGCTGCTGGGATTTCAAATCCCCAGCTTTTCCTTCTGTGACTGCATGGGATCGGTACAGGGAGTTTTCCCTCACCGATCCTGGGTTCACACAGGAGCAGTGGGGAAACTGCATGTGATTTGGACAGGAATTGCATTCCTGTTCAAAGCGCATGCTATTCTTTGTGGTGAAATTTGCTTCCATACATTTTGTATTGACACAAGTATCGGTACTCACTGATCAAAAAGGGGTTTTGGTTCACTCCTAATGTAAATTACATTTTATATCCCTGATATAGGCTTGCTGTACTTGTATGAAAAAGTATCCGGTTCTCTTTGTATTGCTTGCTTTGTGTGAAATCTCTGGTGTTCCTGTCAGCCCTTCTGCTCCCCTTTTAAAATTTCACAAAGCTAGGCAGGAGAGCACAGTGTGGTCAGTTTTCTGGCTGTGCTGAGAACTCAGCCTGCTCTCCTCCAGTGATCAGACTTCTGCTGACCCCCCCCTCCCCCCCCCCCCACACACACCCTGCATAGCCATTCACTGGGAAGATTAGTTTGACACCGTTTCTCCTCCCTGAGCTCCTTATGAAGCTGAGAACAGAGGGTATGTGATCAATTAAAGGAAAGGCGAAGATGCATTAATATATATTTTTATATCTATACATAAATGTTTTGCCGTTTATTTCTATTTTAACCACTTGCCTACCAGGCACTTATACCCCCTTATTTACCAGGCCAATTTCAGCTTTCAGCGCTGCCGCACTTTGGTTGACAATTGCGCGGTCATGCAACATTGTACCCATATGAAATTTTGATCATTTTTTTCTCACAAATAGAGCTTTCTTTTGGTGGTATTTAATCGCCACTGGGCACTTTACTTTTTGCGCTATAAATAAAAAAATGCAAAAAAATTGAGAAAAAAAAAAAAGTTTCTTTGTTTCTATTATAAAATTTTTCAAACAGGTAATTTTTCTCCTTCACTGATGTGCGTTGATGAGGCAGCACTGATGGGCACTGATAGGCGGCACTGATGGGCACTGATAGGCAGCACTAAAGGGCACTGATAGGCAGTACTAATGAGGTGGCACGGATAGGCGGCACTGATAGACAGCACTAATGAGGTGTCACGGATAGGCGGCACTAATATGCAGCACTGATAGGCGGCACTGATAGGTGACACTGATGATGGGTACTGATAGACGGCACTGACTGGCATCACTGCTGGGCACTGACTGGCAGCAATGACTGGCACAACCGCTGGGCACTCACTGGTGGCACTGACTGGCAGCACTGCTGGGCTGCACTGGTGGGTGGCACTGGTGGGTGGGCACAGGTGGGTGGCACTGGTGGGCACAGGTGGGTGGGCACAGGTGGGTGGCACTGCTGGGCACAGGTAGGTGGCATTTCTGGGCAGAGGTGTGTGACACTGCAGAGTGGCACAGGTGGGTGCACTGCTGGGCACAGGTGGGTGATCTGCTGGGCACAGGTGGGCGGAGCTAGTGGGCGCACTGCTGGGCACAGGTGGGCGGAACTTGCGCGTGGCACTGCTGGGCACCGATCATCAGGGCACTGATCATCAGTGCCCTGATGATCGGTGCCGATCCCCGCTCTGACAACTGCCGGTTCTCGGCAGTACTTTCCTCACGATCTGACAGCGTGAGGAAAGTGCAGCCGAGAACCGGCACTTGCATTTCCCTCTGATCAGCGTGTCATTGGACCACGCTGATCACGTGGTAAAAGGCCGCAGTGATTGGCCTTTTACCACATCACGTGATCAGCTGTGTCCGTAGGACACAGCGATCACGGAGATCGCCGGGTGCGCGCCCCCTGGGGCGCGCAGGAGAGCGCGTTCTGGGAGGACGTCATGTGACGTCCACTCAGAACTGGCCGGCCGCAGTGCAGCCGTCATTCGGCTATCTGCGGTCGGCAGCTAGTTAAACTGAATGGCTTGTTTTCCAATGTGAGGGCTCACATATACTTTGACACTGACAGGTGTGCTTACAATGGTCAGCTTTTATTCATTTAATTCATTTAAAGCCTTTATCCCAAAAAGAAAAAAAAACCATCACTGCTTAAAACTATACTTTAAAACAATAACTGCTTAAAAAAAGGGTCTGGAGTTCTACTTTTGTTAGTCAAGTTCATTTACACCTGCTACCCTCCCCCCAGGCTGGCAATGCTGTGGTCCAAAGGTGCATGTGCCTCCATTACTCCTCCGTCCAGATTAGAGACAGACAGGAAGTGTGTTCCTAGCCGAATCACCACATGAAAATAAATAAAAATAAAACAAATGCAGCCATCACATGTAAGGATTGGTAAGCTGCATATACCTGTACCTATTAGATTTTTATTTTTGGGTTTAATATTACTTTAAGAGGGATTGATCACCAGAGAAATGACTATACTATCTCTTCTCTTGCAAAGAACTTTAATCTGGATATTTTTCACACTGACAGCTTTAAAGTAATTTTTATATGGATTTCACATTTTTACAAGCTTGTTCTTCTGTAGTTTTGTTATTGTATTAAATATAGAGATTTGTAGGCTCTCCACCATACTCACTTTGCCTCCTTTCTTTACTGTTGAGAAGGTATTTCAGACAAAAGGCAGTGCATTGTTTTTATGAAAAAAATGGATTTTTTTTTCTTGCACATAATTGGATGATTGACGTAAACACATTTGAACCTTATATACCCATTTATCCATTATCATTTATTACTTATCAGTCATTTGTTCACAATGCAGATCAATCCTATACACTTACATTGTGATAACAAGCACTAAGTGAGTAATAAGCGAAACCATTGTGTTGCACAGCAAAGCAAGAAAGTCTCTGTGTTAATCAAGCTTTTTAGCATCTTAAAGTGGTTGTAAAGGTTCAAGGATTTTATCTTCATGCATTCTATGCATGAAGGTAAAAAACCTTCAGTGTGCAGCTCCCTGCACAGCCCTCGAATATGTATCCAAGCCCCATCACAATCCAAAGATATGCAGAAGAGCCTCAGCTCTCAGGGGACTCCCCCTCCTCATTGGCTGAGTCAGCAGTGGGATCCATTAGCTCATACTGCTGTCAATCACAGCCAGTGAGCCATTGAGGAGAGAGAGGGGACAGGGCAGATCCGCCACTCTGTGTGTGAATGGACATGCAGAGCAGCGTCTCGTGAGCAAACCTGCTTGGGTGCCTCCATAGCAAACTGCTTGCTCTGGGGGCACTTGTCAGGAAGGAGGAGCCAGGAGCGCTATCAGGGGACCTGAGAAGAGGAGGATCGAGGTTGCTCTGTGCAAAACCACTGTACAGAGAAGGTAAGCATGACATGTTTGGTATTTAAAAAATAATGCCTTTCATATTATTATTATTATACAGTATTTATATAGCGCCAACAGTTTGCTCAGTGCTGTACAATATAATGGGAGACAGTACACGAGACAGTAACAATACAAAACAATACACGAGGGGTTCAAGGGCATATTACTTTAACATGCATTTGACTTGATTTACTAAAGGAGTAGTATTATCTCCAGTCACATGCTTTGTTTTTTTTTACCTTAATACATTCACAGCATTAAAGGGGTTGTAAATCGCAGACATGAACTTTGAACAAAATATATCCCTCTGTAGTGTGTAGGTTTTTCTGACACCAGGAGATAAAAAAGTGACAGGGGAGGGAGCTCCAGTACACAACCTGTGATTGACAGCCTCAGCTCGGTTCCTGTGTGCTGCGTGAAGGGGAGGGGGGAGTGTTCCTTCCTTTCTGTCAGTTCTCAGAGCTATCCTCAATGAGTGTAACTTCAGCTTCCCATCCCCTGCTTTCTGAAAGCTCATTCAAGTTGTATAAATTCTGTACTTTGATCAGATGTAGAAAAGAGAGGGATGCAGATGAACATATACAACTTGGAATTGTTTAATTTCTGTGTATCCTCTGAGACTAGTCACTTCAATGGATATGCTGTATGTAAATAAAAACCCTAGTATAATTACAACATCCATCCCCAAACATTTACCTGCTGTCCTTGTCACCACCACCAGGTCCTCCATGATCTGCACTGTTCTGCAAACTTCAGAGCAGACCGTGAGAGTTGGGGAACAATTGGCTTCTGCAGCTATCTGCAAGGATGGGGCAAGGGCACTGTGTGTTTGATGAGCCACACACAGCTCCAGCTGGGAATTTGCATGCAGGATTGTTTCCTTTGCAGCCAATTAAGCAAAGAAGACACCTACAAAACAGAGAGATGATGGATTAGGGACTAGGATTGGCTGGGCAACCAAGATAGGCAAAGTTTCAAGAAAGCAGACTATACATTACATGTAAGTCTGAACTACAATAACAAAAAAGGGTTTATCATCACTTTAACTTTCTATGCATTTGATTGGGTATTTGAAGTGAACACAGGTTGAAGTGAACATTTTACTATTTAAAGTCTGGTCATACACCAGCAGAATTTTGTTCAGAAATGTTTATTTTTTTCTCATGGTTAGTGGGGTCATATTGATATTTGTTTTCTACCTGATGAGAAAATACAGAGAAGCAGGATGAAGAACTTTTCTTGAAGGAATTAATTTCTAACAGTGTATATCTTTTTTATTTGGAAATTCTATTCATACCAAAATAAAATGTTAAAAGCAAAAGTTCTTTTGAACGACATTCATCAAGATGGAATTCTTGAATGTTCTGCCGAGGTTTTATTTTTTATACGAATGTTCATTCAAAAATCTGCCAGTGCATGGCCACTTTTAGTAAATCAATTCCATTGATTAGATTTTTTTTTACATCAAACGTATCTCTTTAAGAAAACTATACATTGCTGTTGATTGGTTTGTGCTTTTATTACCCCATAAAAGTGAATATGAATGCATAATAAACATAGAGTGAATGCTGTAAAGTCATGGTAACCACTCAAATGCCTGTGTAAACTAACCCAATGATTTATCAATAATGTTTGAACCATAGAATTAGTTTACCTAACCATTTCATTCATATAATATCAGAATATGTAGACCCTCTAACTACATAGTTGTTGGTAAATATAAAGGAGATTTGCATGGGACACCACAACCACCCACATAAAAAGCATCATATAAATTAGAACAAATATCAATAAAATAAATGACCAGAACAGATTAGATCAGCAATCAAAATCGTCAGAGCACTTTATTGGTTTATGACATAGAGGAAAATTAACTTTGCAAAACACATACACAAAATGTAAAAAGCTTAAAGCAGAACTAAACTGTTGCATAAATGGCCTCCCCCCACCCTCTTTCAAGCTGATGTCTTAAGAACAAGTACAGTTCACTTTGCAGCAACGTACTTAGGCTTCCTTACATGATGCAGCACTTCCGGGGGGATACTGTGGAGCCTGTATCCCACTCCTCCACCCCAGGCTTTGATTCTACCTCACTGCCAGTGACATACAGTACTTGAAACCTCTCACCAATATCAAGCATGGACTTCCCAATATTCCGTACTTCTGAGGGTCCTCTCTCACGTCCTTCTTCGTGACATACAGGCTTAATACATAGGGGCTTCGTACCACAATGTCAATGCCAGGTCTGGGGCACCAGTAGCAAAGGAGGGAGTTACACTCAGAAACCTCCTCACTACCAGACCACTCCATTGTCCCTGCTAAGTCACAATGTTCTCTCAATGGCTGGCAGCTTTAGCACCATACGCTCATTGCTCATGGCGCTGACAACTTAGTCTTTCACTTTGCAGAGTTCACCACCACTTGTTGGCCCTAAGTAGTGCTTATCCCCTGATGTAAGCCCTGTTCCTTTGTACATCTTACATGCACCCCTTTGTAGGAACTTCAGAAAAGGCACTTTGCATTTTTGAAAACCTTTACTTCAACTTCTTGCAGATACAGAATCAATATGATGCAGTCTCTTACAAACTATCCATACACAGTTCTAGTTTATCCCAGCTCAGGCTGCCCAGTTCATAGCTCTTAGATAAGAAGTGCCCCTTCAGTAAGGTCCATGATCTGACTCCTGGTACCCTAGCTGGGTACCCCAAAAAGGGAGACCACATGCTCACTGCAGGACTACACTCCGCAGAATTCCTTCTTGTCTGATCCCATGAGGAAGGCCCAGAGCCCCCGATAGGCAGCATCCCATTATATGTATAGCCCACTAGAAAGGGGCAGAGCTATGAACACCTGGCAGTGAGCAGTCTTAACTCCTTCCCAACCGTATACAAGAACTCACCCAACTCAATAACATGAGGCAATGTGCACCCCAACAGAAGGCACCTGCCTATATGTGGTGGATACAGTCTTTTCTATTTTCAGGATTTTTTCCCTTTATTTTCACTTGGTGATCGTGATATTAATACACTTCCTGGTGTGCAACCACTCAAACATTGCATTATGAGGTTGATTTACTAAAGACAAATAGACTGTGCACTTTGCAAAGTGCAATTGCACTCGGCAGGAGCAGTTGCTCCAGAATGTATTAAATGAGCAGGGGCTATATTGACTTCCATCATCCAATCATGTGCAAGCAAAAAAATGCTGTTTTTTGTTTTCATTTTCCTTGCATGTGATTGGGTATTCTTAGTAAAGTGAAGCTTCATCTCATTTACTAAGCTCTGGAGCAACTGCTCTTGGAAGAGTGCAATTGCACTTTGCAAAGTGCACAGTCTATTTACCATTAGTAAATCAACCTCTATGTCTGTAAAGAAACAATTATCATCCTAGGATGACTCTA